GCAATCAGCTACTGAGATCAAAGATAAATATTCACTTTCACCGGCCAGGGGCTGCAAAACAACTGGGATAACTGCGTCAGGGGGCAAACTGACTAGGGGAGGGAGCCTCGCCTGCCTCGCAACGGCGGCGTGCTCGTCCCGCTACAGAGCGCGGGGAGTCTCGAGGAAGGCCTGCAGCTCAGCCCGGCTCTGCCGCGCCCAGAAACGAGCCCTCCGCCCTCACAACAGGGCTGGGCAAGCGCAGACCCTGCCAGACACACAACCCAGCTCTGAGGTTCTGAGCCCGGGGGCGCGAGACTGCAAGACTTTCTTCACCAGGCAAATCAAACACAGGCACGTCAGTAACCACGACTTCGTTTCATCAAGCACTGGCATTTTAAAGAAAACTTTATAAATTTTTTTCCATGTACTAAAATAAATACGGAATTCTCTCTCTTTCATTCCATGGTTAAATCTCAGGTTTTAAAATCCGACCTGCTCCGGCGATCTGCTTGGTCAGAGATGTGGAAAGCACAGGGGAGCCGTTGCTGCGGAGGCTCAGAGCCGCTGAGCTGGCTGCAGGGGCGCCTCAGCGAGGGGACTGGCTAACCGCAGCTACATGACAGCTGCAAACAAGCCAGACCGATGGGCTCATCCGAAACGTGCAGCGGTGGGCGGCCAGTTCTGAGAAACAGGGTCATCACCTCCGCCCGGAGGGAAAAAAGCCGAGTCTGCCCGGCGGAGTTCCCATCCCAGACCCGAGGCTGATACAGGTGGCAAAGGCAGCAGGCTCCGTGCCACTGTCCCGGCCGGCAGAGGGGATCCTGTGACAGGCCATGCATTATTCACGCCTCATGTTCAGAGCGCACGGAGGAGAACTCCGATAACTGGGAAGAACAAAAAGGGGAGTCTAACCTGGCACCGGCCATGTTCTCCGATTAAAGTTTCGGGACTCTGTGGATGTTTTTTGTTGGGGGGGGGGGGTCTTTTGCATCAGTATTCTCTTTCTCTCTACCGACTCCTGTGTGCTTCTAACCCCTGAAAAGCACAGAGCTCTGCTGCAGAATCCATGCAGATGTGTCGCTGTTCTTGCCATTTGCTTTGTAGGCTCCACGTCAGCACGGCACAGGAGCCCCACAACGAGAGATACCCCAGTTTCCCCCCCTGCCCCCACTTTCACACTGAAGCTGGCAGGACCTCCAGGATCTCTCCCCGAAGCCACGGGTGGGCATGACTGGGAAGGTCTGGAACCTCCTCTTCCAAGTGCAGAGCACCTGGTCACCGATTCAAAACCAGCAATAACAAAAACAAAAGCTCTCCGAATCTCCACAGCAAGCTTCTCTGCTGCCCAAGCCTACAACAGCAGCCGCACACGTGTGCAAAGCGTGTCATCACCTGCGACCCACCCAGGAGCAGACACGGCCCCAATATCTCCACTGAAAACGGGCTGCACCTCTGATCCAACTCTGCTTACTATGCACTGGGCAGGAGATGGGAATATTCAAGGGGAGGACGGACCTCCTAGGCACCTGCGTGGGAAAGCACTTTCAGAACGATGAACTGAACT